AAGACCAATCTGTATATTGCTGCCGATACATTAAGCTTTTGCCTTATGAAGACATGTGACTTTAAGCTGCAGAAGAACACCGAAAAGTGATGTTTTGTCCACTGGGTGATTTACAGCAAGAATTGTTAGTAGCACTGCTGTGCACTTCTCTCTGACCAGCTTTGTCCTGTTCCTGTGTTCACTTTTTTTGAGCAGCAAACTATGTTTCTGATGTTAGCTCAGAGAAGCCACTCTGGTGGTGACTGGACCGGTATGATGTCTTAGAGGTGAAGTATGCAGTGAGTAAACTTCTCCAAGAGGTATAGTAGAGCTTCAGGTGATCTTTGCTCTATTTATCATGCCATGCACAAGCATTTTCCTTTTAACTCTATAAAATGCATGGTAACATTTACCATTATAATTCTTTTTATGGCCAGTACCGCTGTGTTTGGTGAATTGTAAGTACATAAGTGATACTTACATTCATCTTGTATGGTTGCTCTGAAAGGTCAACATTTAGTGTAGGACTAACATAGGACAATAATTTCTGGTTAACAAAAGGCTGAGCACATAGTATAGCATTAAGTACTGATTTTTCAGTGGAAGAGATCAATCTGGGAAATTAATAGAGTGCATTATTTGAAGTAATTGCTAATCTATAAAGTCTTTGGCTTTAAAAGTGCAACATAAACTGTTTTCAATGAAAGCATGCTGGAAATTTTCTCAGAAGAAATGGCCAGGGAAAACTTGGACAAAGACAGCTAATATTCAGTTGCTCAGAAGTCATTGTGCAGGAACAGGTATTTATAATTCTTGACTCAGATGTTTTGCTTTATTCCAGCCAGAATTTTCAGTCTTCCCACAACAGACCCAGACCTGTTTGTTCTGAGGGAGTCTTTCATCCCAGCCTTTTGTCCCAGGCTCAAAGAGAGACCATGTTTCTGTACAGCTCTGATGTGAGGCACTTTCTTTCTGTCTTTTTAAAGTCTTTAGTATCCCAGAAAAAGTTAATTTTTGCTAGTTTGCTAGGTCTCTTCAGGTTGAATCCTGTGCTGAAAGGAAGTTACTTAGAAATTGTACTCCTTTCAGTGCTGACCTGCAAAGATCTGATTACTTGATTCCAACATTACTTGTTGCGTGCGACAGCTAAAAGTCCCTGAAAGCAAGAGCTAAATTATCATTCACTACACAATTTATTTATTTCTTTTCTGCCATTCTGGGTCTGAAAAATGCTCTCTTTAGAAAAGAAGTTTTTTGGGATCAATTCTACGGCTGACTGTATTTTTACCATGCTTGGTAAAACTGGATAGCTTTCTGTAATGTATCTAGTTTCTTGGCAAGCAGTGGTAGATGCTGGTGGCCCTGCAGCTCAGCAGTCTATCAGAAAGAGTTTAAGTCATAAAGAAAATGATTACTCTGTTAGCCAGTTTGTATAATTTATTTCCTTTCAACAATATGTAAGAATAGTTGTTTTGGGACTGTCCCAAGGTTCATCTAGTCCAGAATCTTGTTTCCATTAGTAGCTGTTAGCAGGCAAGCCCGGTGACAGAGCTGGACTCAGGCTGTCAAGCAAACCATATGTGCAGATGCTTTTCAGATCACGTTTGTAACATTTGCATTGACCTGTGAAGAGATTATTGTGCCTCAAGAATTTGTGAGACTTCTGATAGTTCTGCTCTTTGCCAGAGCTCTCCCCGAAGAAACAGTATCACAAAAGAAGTACTACTTCTGTCAAGGGAAAGGAAGAACAGTGTAACTGTTCATCAAATAATTTGTACTTAGCAGTATTCATTATTTACAAAAGCGTGTATTGTGATGCCACCAAGTATTGCATTACTCCAGGCATCTCAGCTGTGAAAGCTGTTGCAGTGCTGTATGCTGCAACTTGATGTCTGTCACAGTCTGTTCTCCTGCCCATTGTAGCTCCCTAACCATTTGTGACCAGTCTGATGGCATTAGGTGATGAGGATGTGCTTGCTGGAGTTTTGTCACTGAGATGGCAGCTGAAGTGCAGTAATGCTGGGATGTCTGGCCCCTCTGCGGCGTCTCACTTTCCCGTGTTTTGCAGGCCTGCGCTGGTCAGGCAGGTGCAGCTGTGAGGAAACACTGCTGTGAAGCAAAGGAAGAAAGGACGTGGAATGAGACCCTTTTTAGCTCTCCTGAGGGGAGGTTGGGGTGGGCAACTGGTGCCACTGAGCTGTTGGTGGAGGAGGGCACAGGCAGAAAGAGGCGAGGCCATGCAAAGCAAGTCGCAGACTAGTGTTTCACCTAGTAATGAACGCAATTTTGGCTTGGTGCCTTTCTGTGCTGGGAGAGCAAGCTTGCCTAACAGCACCCTCTGGTGAGTCCTGCAGTGGAATAGAGAAAGCGTCAGAAGTAGCCTGAATCGCAAGGTCCTGTCCCTGGCAACTGTAATCATGGAATCATTTATGTTGGGAAAGACCATCCAGATCATCAAGTCCAACTGTTAATCCAGAGCTGCCTACCACTAAGGCAATGATATCATGTATTCTAAAAATGTATATTTGTGTGTATGTATATAGATCTTCAGCAGCTCTATGTGAAGGTTATTCATCGGGCTGTTCAACAGCTGCTTTCTCCCTCAGCCAGCATTTACCAAAAATCACCAAAGAGTGTGGTGGGTTAAAAAAATTGCACATTAATGGGATGCAAGCTTAACCTGGGCTGAAAGCACCTTAACTGCAGAATGCAGTTCAAATGGCAAGGGGGTAAGTTACATGGAAACAGAATTACACATCCCAATATGAGAAATGCAGGAATGAAAGGCACTGTTTACAGAGGTCATGGGGTATTTGGCCTCGTGCACTGGAAACCACCCAAGTGAATACTCTTACAGATGCTGCATTTTGTTGTGTAATTATGCACTTTTGTGGTGTCCTGCATGTGTGTATACTCCTTAGAAACATCCCAACTTTCCCCAAAGGGTAGAAGATTAATCTTAGATATAAAAAATGGGTATATACTTAGTGCTTTAGTCTGACATTGCACTTGTTCTTGCAGTGTAAATCATACTGGAGAGCAGGGAAATACTTCAGCTACTGTCATTCTACACATTATTTGCAGTGCTTGTGTCTGACTAGTTCAGACACAAATTATGGACTAATGCTCATGTTAGCTGTTTTTTCATTGGCACAGAATTGTCTGTAAGAGTCCTTGTGTGGGAATCGGAGTGAGGTCTGAGAGACAGTCAAGGCAGAAGAGAATTTAAAAAGAAACAGCCTTTGGTTTTTATTCTGTGCTGCCCACCCCTGACAATAAGGTATACAGAACAGTTAGTGTTGCAGTTCTGCAGAGTGGTCTTGATTCGAGTGGAGCAGCAGTTCTGTGTAGCTAGGTTGAAAACATAGTAATTCTTCTAAAAGCATCATTGGGTCTCTAAAACCTACCTAATGGGTGAGGCTTTGAGGAGCTGCAGAATGCAGATATAGTGCAGATAATGACTCATGTTTTGTACTCAGGAAAAGATCTGAGTGCTTATGGCTGGCTGGCTTTAAGGCATAGAATCTGTTTCAGGAAAAATCCTTCAGCTGCACCTCAACTTCAGTTTAGATTCTTTCATCACCTTTAGTGAAGTGTCAGTGAAGGCAGCTGGATTGCTGGTGATCCTCACAGCACAGAGAAACTCAGATGTTTCTGGAGACATGCAGAAATTCAGTATTTGAATAAGGCAGAATTTAGCTGTGAAGAATGGCCATGCTGAATTAAACTAAAGGTTAATCTGTCTGCCCTTGTGGCTGACAGTAGCAAGTAGTGAGTTACTAGGGAAAAATTAAGTAATACAGGAAATTGATTTCTCCTAGTGTACCCATGCAATGTGGGCAGATACCACAGTTTAGGGAATTGCTAAGCCTCAGACTGCAGCCTCATTTTTGCATGTATCAGGCCTCGAGAGGCTGTTCTTCCATTGCTTTCAATCAGTGTAATTGTCTGTTGAACTCTTGCGTAGTCTTGCAGCCGCAGCATTTTGAGGCAGTTTCACATTTTGAAGGTGCAGCATACAAAAAGGCACTCAGTATTCAGGTTGAGGGCTTTGTGTATTTTTTTAGTTTTTTTAAAGATCTTTTTAATCCAAGAGTTGAGCTGCATCAACCCTACTTCAACATCAAACATTTGCTTATTTCCACAGTGATCTTCCCATCACACATTACTTCCTTCCAGTTTCCAGCATCTATCACCTGCAGATGATCATCTCCCAGTGCAACTGATTTAGGAAGCAGTTGGTGCCACATACATACAAGCATATTTGAAGAAAGACTTTGCTAATGCAAGAGTTTGTGTTGTGTAAATGTTATTGAGCAATAGTTGACCATCATTTCCCTTCTCTTTTTCAGCTGTTTGTGTTGCTCATCCTCAGTGACAATGGCAAGGATTCGGATTCCTAGCACAATTGTTATACTTTTTGTTGCAGTTCAGACTGGATTCTTACTCTTCATGTATGCCCGGTATAGCAGCTTCATGCCTCAGTCTGAAGAGAAACCATCTCAAGTCCACATCCTCATTCTCTCCTCCTGGCGGTCAGGATCTTCTTTTGTTGGTCAACTTTTCAGCCAGCACCCCAGTGTCTTCTACCTGATGGAGCCTGCGTGGCACGTGTGGGTTACCATGTACCAGAACAGTGCCAAAGTCTTGCACATGGCAGTGCGGGACCTGGTCAGGTCGGTCTTTCTGTGTGACATGTCTGTGTTCGATGCTTACATGCCTTGGAAAAAAAACTTATCTGACCTTTTCCAGTGGGCAGCAAGTCGTGCTCTGTGCTCAGTTCCTGCTTGTGACTCTTTTCAACGTACTGACATAACCAGTGAAATGGCATGCAAGACTCTCTGTGGACGCTACCCGTTCAGCAAGGTGGAGGAAGCCTGTAAAACTTACAGCCATGTTGTCATCAAGGAAGTTCGATTCTTTGACTTGAGGGTCCTCTACCCCCTTCTCACTGATCCTTCTCTGAATCTCAAAATTATTCACCTGGTTCGTGACCCCAGGGCAGTTGTTAAGTCACGGGAACAGTCGGTCAAAGCATTAGCCCGTGACAATGGAATTGTCTTGAGTACCAATGGCACCAAAGTGGAAGACAGCAAATACAAAGTAATGCAAGAGATTTGTAGGAGTCACGTTCAAATTTATGAAACCGCTACTCTAAAACCACCGAATTTCCTGAAAGATCGCTACGTAATGATCCGTTTTGAAGATCTGGTAAGAGATCCGTTATCAGAGATCTCAGAAATGTATAAATTTGCAGATCTTAGTTTGACCCCTAGGCTCAAAAGCTGGATCTATAATATCACACATGGACAGGGATCAGGGAAAAAGAAAGAAGCCTTCAAAATCACGTCTCGAGATGCAGTTAGTGTTTCACAGGCCTGGAGAAATGTTCTTTCCTTCCAGAAAGTTAAGAAAATCCAGGAAGTTTGTAAAGGTGCTATAAACATGCTTGGCTATCAGCTGGTGGATTCAGAAAAAGAACAAAGAGATCTGACATTGGACTTGGTGTTGCCAAGACGACAAAACCAATTCAGTTGGTCGTCATTTAATCCAAAGCACTGAGACAATATTTGTGAGAGTTCTGGGGGATAGGGCAGGGTAGATGTTTGAATATTTGTCCACTGTGCAGTATCTAGTAATTTGGCAATCCTTGGCTGATGACTTTAACTATCTTTCTGTCTACTGTTTTTCTGTAAAGGAAGGAGGTTTTTTTAACTGAGTTTTTTACACCTCAAAAAAAAAAAAAAA